CAGCCTTCTCGTGGTGGTGGGGGCTCTCGAGGCGCTCAGGTTCCTTGTGGTGCAGCGCAGCGCCAGCTACACGCAGGGCCTACCGGCCTCGGAGAGCAGGCGTGAGCCGCTCCCCCGCTGTGCCTGTTTGCAGGGGTGTGACGGGTGTTTAAGGGTCATCCAGGTAAAGGTTCCTTTTTATCATCGAAATAGGTCCATCAACCAACGGTGACCAGGAGCGCGTTCGACTTTGAGAAGTCAGATTTGGGTAAGAATACAGATTTAATATGAACTGAAACCACTGCGATTAGCAAAGGAGTGAATCTCCCGGCCCCACGGGGTCACGGTAGGAGCGCTACGGTGCCTGGACCACCCCCAGGCGGCGGGACTGGCCGGACTCTGCGTGTCCACGCGACGGCGGCTGTGGGAAGCTGGGACAGCCAGGCGCAGCGAGGATTGGGGCGGGGTAGTCAGGCCTAGGTTGTGTCCACCCGAGATACAGGATCTTTGCACCACCCCGTGGGGTTTGTGAATGTTACCCTATTTACCTTCCTCATCTCTGTCAGCCCGTTCCCCCCCAACAGTTCTTTACCATCCCTGGGCCCCCCCACTGCATGGCTCCAGTGAGGCGCAGGGCGCCCTGCCAGTGCGGCACTGGCCAGGTCCGGTCCGGGCTGCAGCCTGCCGCACCGGGCAGCTGGCTCGGCGGCCACCCTGCCGCTTCTCAGCGCACCCATGCCCCAGTTTGCTCCAGGTGTGCTGGAAATTTACAGTCTGACGTGGACACACACCAGAAAGAAAAGAAACAGAAAGAGAAGAAAGCAACAGGAGGAAGAAAAATCAAACAAAGGACAGAATAGAGGGAGAGAGGAAACACATGCAAATAAGGGAAACCGACACAGCACCCCACATCAAACAAAAAAAAAAAAAAAACACACAAAAAAAAAAAAGAACATAATCACTGCAAACCAAAGGAGATACAACACAAAAAAAAAGAAGACATCACAACAGAGGATGGGGCCCTAGGGAGCAGAGCGCGCAGAGAAGACACAGAGATAGACCCTGCGCGTGGCCAGCCTGAGCCGGACCGACCAAAGAAATGACACTGCGCGGTGACAGCTGGCCTGGACGCGGCCAGCACACGAGCGCAGCCCGACCGACGGCACAAAAAAAACACAACAACGCAGACAGTAAAGGCCAGAACACAACACATACCGAAGGGAACGAGAAGATGCTCGAACAACAAGAAACAAACAAGGGGGAACATAAAACCGTCCGGGGCAAAGAGACAAACACAAAAAAGCGCTGCGGAGCGCAAACACCCTAACCTGCCAGGCGCTGCCCCGCCACGTCTCACAGAGAATGCAAAAAAGAAGTGCAGACATAACGTGGAAAAGCGGAATAATACAAGACACAGCACGCAACAGCGTCGGACACCACTCTAGGAAAAATAACAGAATAATCTATATACGAGAGACGACGGAGCTTCAGGGGCGGCGGGGGGCGCGGGACAGTGGGCGGGCTGCGGAGGGGCGGGCTAACAGCTCTGTGATGAGGAGCTGGGCAGGTGAGGGGGTGAGGAGGGGCGGAGCTGAAAACCAGGGGCGGACCACCAGAGAGTGTGGTGAGGGTGGGGCAGGTGAGGGGTGGGGCTGAGGTTGAGGCGGGCGGATGCTGACGGAGGCGGAGGGTGGATAGATGATGGGCGGGGCTGATGTGAGGGGCAGGGCTAACAGGGTGTGATGAGGTGGGATGGGCAGGTGAGGGCGGGGCTAACAGAGGGGTGTGAGC